TGGATGAAATGTTTTGTAAATGTCAGGTTCACTTGATTTATAGTACATTTTAACTCAGATTATTTATTTTTATTTTTCCAGAGGGCACATGCACTCTTTGGAGACAGAGAGAAGGTGGAGGAGAGTGAGAAAGCACCCCCTCCCTATAGCAAGTGATCACACCACATTCCCCTCTCCTCCATTTCTCCCGCCTTTTGGGATTTGGGAGCGTGCATACACACGTGCCCAACATGTTCCTCGAGCTACTGGATAAGCCACTGGAGACTCGAACTGCACAGTTGACCATTATGGTCTCTAAACTGCCTTAACCGTCACGCCATAGGCCTATCCAACTCAGGTGGTTTTTAAAATTTTTAAAATTTTCTGTCTATCTAGATAATCTCTCTAGTGCTGAGGGTTGGGAGTTGCAGTCTGCAAGTTTCTTTTTATAGTGTTTTTTAATTGTCAGAGAGGGTGTGCACTTGCCACATAGAGCATGTCCTTCTAATGGGATATGGTCATACAATCTCTCTTCCTTTGTTTTTCTTACCTGGCCCAGCATGTTTTTCATGCCACTGGGGCCAGGATTTAAACCCTAATCGGCCATGTGAGATCTGGCTTCCTAAATTGCTAGGCTATGGGACTGGCCCTCTTTTTACAGATTTTTGACTTAAAGTCTCTTTTATCTGATACTACAAATGCTGCTTGCTTTTAGTTTCCATTTTCATGAAATATCTTCTTCTTTTTTTTTTTTTAAGAAGTTTTTGCATTAGGGCGTGTGTGCTCACAGGAGAGAGAGAGAGAGACAGAGAGAGACAGAGATAGAGACAAAGACAGTGAAAGAGAAAGTGAGAAATCACCTAGGGGGGATGGCCATGCTACTGTCCCTGCTCCTTCACTCTCATCCCAGGATCTTGGGCATGCATGCACACACACCTGGCGTGAGTTTCAAGCCAACAGGTCTGGGACTCAAACCAAGAACAGCCAAGTGGGAGCCCAGCAACATAACTACTATGCCATTTACTGGCCCCAAAATATCTTTTTTTCATCCCTTCACTTTCTACATGTGTCTTTATCAGTGATGTAGTGAGATTCTTTTTTGTTTGTCTGTTTTAGGAGAGACTTTTGCTATAGGGCACAGGTGCTCATTGGAGACACAGAGAGACAGAAAGAGAGATCAGCCCCTGAGGGTGATGGCCACACCTCAATCCCTTCTCCTCCATTCTCCTCTCTGGATTTTGGCCATGTGTGCACATGCACTTGGTGTGAGTTTTAAGCCACCAGTTTGGGATTTAAATTATGGTCAACTACATGAGAGTTCATCGGCCTAACCATTATACCATCTGCTGGTCCCATGAAGTGAGATTCATATAAGAAGCATATAGTTGGTCCTTTTTTCCCAATCTATTCAGCTAATCTATCAGTATATGTTTTAATCCATTTACATTCAAGGTTATGATTGATAAGCGAGGACTTTTTCCCTTTATGGAATGACTCTTTCAGATTGTATAATGTTTTTTGATTTAGTTTAAATGTCTATCTGTATTCTCTTGCATCTCATTGAGTTTCCTTATCATTATTATGTTGAAATCCTTTTTATACATTTCACAGATTTCCTCCTCTGTGACATCTGTTGCTGGCGCAATATTGTATTTTGGGGCGGATGTCATGCTACCTTGCTTTTTGATGTATCTTATTTCTGTGTGTTGATATTTGTACATCTGGTCAAGCAGTTGCCTCTACCAGTTTTATAGGGTGGCTTTCATAGTGAAAGACTTTGCCCAGTAGATATGTCCTAGGAAGTCAGTTGTGTAGGGTATGTTGGCTTTGGCTCCAGTTAGGAACAGTGGTGTATTTTCTGTATAGTTTCTTAAGCTATAATTAGCATTGGCAGTGTCTGGAAGTGACTGAGTATCCTAGGCTGGCTACTCCAATGGAACATGTTGGAATGAGGTCTTTAAAGTGCTTTGGGTGTGTCTAAAGTCATTCTCCCACCTCCTTCCTCAAGATGCAGGGGGTTGGGCCTTCTCTGAAACTCAACTGTGGGCAGGGTTACTCAACTTCGCTGTTTCCATGGGATCCAGCCGGTGGGGCTACTCAGTACTGTACATGGCTGGGGGCAGGGTCATTCACCTAGCTGCTCCCATGGGACATGGGAGTTTGAGAGGGGATAAGGCTACTACAGTGACTTCCAGTGCCAGTGTTTATGGGAGAAGTGATTTGCCCAACAGCTTCTGTAGGACAGAAGTGAATATGGTCACAGGATAGCTTTGTGTAGCCATTGCCTGTGTGGGGGATGGTACAACACAGCCTGGATTCCTCCTTTAGTGCAATTCAGTGGTGCACATGTCCCTTGGTTGCTCCCCAAGCTGAGCTCAGGGCCTGTGAGAACTGTAGAATTCCTCTGCAGTAAAGACTTCAGGTGTCCAAGGTAGGGTGCAGGTCAGGTTGTGGGTCTCTTGCTTATTTTCTCTCCCATCATAAGAAGTCCATTCCAGTTCCTAACTGATCTTGACTGGGGAAATGGGGCAGGACATGCAGAGCACTTTACTCCCCTCTCTACAAGCCCATCCATGCTCTGCAGCAGCATGTCTACTACTTACACACTGCATTCCAACACTGTCTCTCAAATGCTGCACATAAATATCAGCTGCTTATTCTTTGTTTTGGTGGGAGAGAAACTAATTAGGCACCTCTTAATAGCCATCTTGCTAAAGTTTTTACAGAAGAAAATTCTTTGAACCTGAAGCCTTTTGCAAGTTAGGCTACTGGATCATTCCAACTGGTATGTCAGCAGTCTTCTCTAAGATGGGTTAGAAACGTGGTTTTAGGGGCCAGCAAGTGGCATGGCAGTTGGGGTGCTGGACTCCCACATGACCAACCACGGTTCAAGTCCTGGACCTGGAGGCTCGCTTTCTCACTTTCCCCCTCTCTCCCTCTTTCTCTCGCTGGTCAAATTAAAAAGTAATAGTAAGTAAAATCTTTTTTTAAGAGAGATTTTTGCTATAGGGTACATGTACTCGCTAGAGAGACAGAGACAAAAGGCAAGAAATCATCCCCTGAGGGGATGGCCACACCAGAATTGCTTCTCCACCATTCTCCTCTCAGGATCTTGGGCACATACGCACACGCGCCCGTATGAGTGTGAAGCCACTGAGTCTGGGACTTGAACTGCAGTTAACTGTGTGGGAGTCCAGTAATGTAACCATCACGCCATCTGCTGTCCCCAATAAATCATTTTTTTAAGTGGTTTTATATCCAAATTGTTAACTCACGTTTTCATGGCTAACCGGCCCAAGTGCTCCTAAAGACAGTTCCTACAGCTCAGACCTGTATTTTTGTTTGTTTGTTTGTTTGTTTGTTTGCCCATATGAGAACACAGTTGAGTTTGCAGATCTTCCAAAGGTAACTGCAGAATTTCAGACATTATCTTTTTTCCAGTAAAAGAGACCTTATTTTGAAACCCTGGTAGGAAAACTTGTTCAGTAAGATCTGTGCTGTCAGAGAATTATAGTGGACATGAGGAGGGGAAAACAGAGGAGCACGAGCTGGAAGCATAGTATAAGTGATATTCTCTCTCTTTGTTGTAACCTACGTTTTTACTTGCTACCTCCCTTGGCCACCCTATGTGTATCCATGCACATGTAAACACAGATAGCTGTCCTAACTTTGACATGCAGCCCCAGTCTGAAGCATTATTGTTGTTTATAACTAAATTAAACCTACAAGAATTGCTGAAGCCAAACCGAGAGTCAAATCCTTTAAACGTGATACTTAAGGAATTGTCTCACAACCATAAAACTGACATTATTTTATGTTTGTTAAATAACTTAGTTGGTTTTACATGTATTTTGACATTTTCTTCCCCCAAGTTAATACGTATGCATTCTGATAAGTAATAATAACTTTAACCTCATCACTTATGAAACAGCTAGGAAATACAAGATAAATATACTATTATACTTTGGATTTTAGTTCTTTAGTAGTCAAATGTTTATTGAACATGTACTGTATGCCAGGCACTGTCCTAGGCAATGAGTAGATACATAGACAACATGAATAAAATAGAACTTTGCTTTCAAGACAACACTCAGTTGTTAAACCCATTTCTTTTTGTTTAGGGTGCTTTCATTGTCTTCAAATTTTAGAGCTGAAAAGTGCCTTAGAGATCTAGTCCAACCTCTGTTCAAATGGAGACCTCAACCACTATGATTCACAGGAGAGTAAGAGAATTTAGCAGACTGTTCCAAGTAATGACAGCAAACTATAGGAAAATCAGCACAAATTGTGAGAACTATGCTAGCATCATGGTATGAGTATAGTATGAGTTTAGAAAAGATATAAATTATAAGAAAATGTAATTGTTTTCATGTAAGTTGATTTCACTATATTATCTTAAAGTTAAAATGAAGAAATAACATGTCTTCTTTTCTTCAGTGCTATAGTTAAGCCAATCTTGTATCTTGTAGTAACAATCTGCGAATGGTTTTCTGCTTATGGACTCAGAGTTTCAAAAGTAGCTATACAAATAATGTTGTTAGTGAGTGCCTTGGTAGTGTTGGTAGAGAAAATGTGCCTTTCTGAAGCCTTACTAGAATCTTGGTGGTTCAGATATGCAGTTCAGACCCCTTATTTCAAGATTGAAGAGAAAGACTCCAGAGAGGTTCACTGACTTGCCCAAA